CCCCAAAACCCCAAAACCCCAATATCAATTTTATTTTAAAGTTAATTTTTATAATTAGTAAATATTAATTTAAGAATTGAGCAGGTATTTAAAATTTTGCAGCATTTAATCAAGGTAGCTCCAGGTAAGTGATACTTAGTTTAATGCATTGCATAGCCTAATAATCCAAATCATTAGCAAAGAGGAACACATCAATTACTCCAAATCTACTCTGAGGAAGGATATTAAGTGATATTTTTCTAGTCTCTCTTGGTTTATATTCAAGTTTCTCATGAATAATTTAGATTAAGTCAGGCCTCGAGGTTGCGAATTCATAAATGGCTGGATTTTCTAGTCTGTTTTCGAAAAACATATCATGAGTTGAAGAAAAGTTAATCTTGGTACTGATCATCTCATTTTTATGAACTTTGGGTTAATCTGCGTCTATAATCATTAGCCACTGGTACACTAATTCACCTGAATTCATATCTATAGAGTATAAATACATCAATGAGAAATTTACCTGTGCAGTTAACTCTAACTCTCTATGTTGTTGGTAAATAGGTCTTAGCACAAATACTGATGTGATTTACCATTTATGGAACGATCTTTAGCGGCCTTCCTATTTCTCTTCTAGGCATGTATACAATCTTGGGGTTGCTAGAATGAATAAGTACTTATCTAGCATTATCAGCTGTTAGTTCAAGGCTTTAAGTGCTTTGCACACCTGCTTTTATCTTCGTATATAGAGTTTTCATTGAATAAATTTCGATCAAACAAGTGGCTAAGAGTTTTTCTCGGTACTAATCTCCATAGACAAATATTATAATATCTACCTCATATGGTGCATCAGAGGTCTAGGCTTCAACTTGAAATCCTGATGTGTCTCTATTTATATCAACAACCACATTTGGCTTTGAAGCAATCGCAAAGAGGCCTTACTGATAAAGTTAAAGGAATGGTGGGATCTATAGTGTGACATGTGAGTTCTAAGGCTCATAGAATCTAAATGTATGATCAATGATGGCTGATGAAGGAACAACATTAAGTTCGAGGGCCAAATGAGGCTTTCTGTTTGTTTGCATTATGATTATTCCTATTTTTCTTGGCTTGATAATGTCCTATGAAGCTAATTCATTTGGATCTATTGAAACGTCTCTAGTAGTCATGAACTTGAAAAGTAATTCAACTTCATCCATTGGATTCAAGATTATATCTGCAGGCCTCTGGATAATGTCGTAAGAAAATGGTGCTTATCCCTTTCCCTATTTTACCCAATGCCTCCATTCTAACGGATCATTGACTAAACACAATTCTGGCTGGCTTAGTAGTCTTTCGTCTGGATCATTAATATGAATAGAAAAGACTTCTCTGCTATTGAAGGGATTTTAAATCTTGCATTTGTAGAATTCTATTTGTCCTGGAACAACACTAACTTACTCAGTTGTCTAAGTATACTCCTCTAATACCTTTGAAAGGACTTGATCTCTTTTAGTTTCTCTGATGACCTCTATTTCTTTTAAGGACTTATGTTTTGCCCAGTCTGGTTATGAAGGATCATCAACTTATGTGTAAGCAGCAGATGCCTCAGAATGGCCTATTGTCATTTTTCTAACCCTATCAACACGAAGTTTCTTTCTTAAGTCTGCATTTTACTATTATACAGCTGATAGCTATTGATGACTCATCTGGCTGATTATTGATTAGTTGTAGTTAGTATTCATTCCTACATGAGTAGCTAAAAGACTCGTTTCATTATTTGTTTGCTAAATTTTTGTGAGGTCCATTGGCTTTGATTTAATGACTTTTCTGTATTTGGATTGCTTATTAGGATCATTTTGACTAGGCTAAAGTCTCGATTTTGTCGGACTTCCATCTCTCATATTCAGAGTGTCCATCTTATGATCATAGATTTCTTTGATACTTACATACTTTCCCTAGTTACTCATTATCAATTAAATTGAGCCTCTAAATTCTCCTGTGTCAGGGTCGCACATTTCACACTCCTTAGCTCTTACTATAGTTTGTCTACCTTATCTTAATAGTTCATAAAGAGGGATCTTGCATGTACCAAATAAAAACAGAGTTTCACCATCAAATACATCAACTGTCAAGAATCTCTCTCTTAGATATCCAGCTAGTTTCATATTTTCATTTTTGATTTTAGAGAGAGAAGGATCAATTTCGAAAATGCTCTCTAAAAGATTAGGGTCATGAAGAGTATCAGTTGTTATCAGCTATTTCTGCAACTAGGTTCCTGCATTCATGGACTTATTCGCACCAGGATGTTCCTTTTGAAGATAGAAGACCTAGCCGTGTCTGATATAATTTTCTTGCCCAGGAGCATGCACAATTTTCACTTTATCCGATATTAGTGAGGGAAAGGTAAAGAATTTGAATTAGAAGTAAAGCTTATTAGGAATTTCGATGCTATTTACTGCTGATTTGTAGCATAAGAACTTGAATCTAATTGTTGAAGCCTTGAGTTCATCTTAGGCTTCTACTTCCAGTGACATTACATCTTTATATATAGAGTCAGAGGTGATTTAGGCAGTGGGATGCTAAAGTAAATCTCCTTACCCTAGTTTCATGATGTTCACCTAATCACTTAGTGGTAAATCAGTAGTTCTAAGTAAATTTATCATTCCAGCTCCAACAAATGGTGCCTTAGGGGCTAGGAGATCATCAAACTTTTAGTTTTAGATCATTTTCTTAAGCTTATCTGATAGACCCACTATTCTTCTATCCCTCTCAGTTTCACCAATCATATTGAGCATGTTATAAAAGACATTTCCTATCATTGCTATTTATTGTTGAGAATTTTATGGATGATTCTCGTTATACATTTATTGAGTATTATAACCACCCTGGCCAGGGTATTACTGCTGATACATGTAAGGTTATTAGTAGCCCTGCATCATGTTTTGAGTTTGAGACATAGCAGCTTATTTAAGTGAGTCTTAGTAGTCTCTCATATTTTTACGCATCAACTCTAGTTCTTGCTAAACTTGATTTTTCTAGAGCTGTAATAGTCTTTGCTCTTCTCTGTACTTTCTTTCCATTGCATCATTTGGATTTATTTGGTGATTCGCATTCAAGTCCTTTTGTCTTTAAATTTCGAGCATTTCAAATCTGGCATCAGCCTCTTGCTTTAGCTTAGCCTAATGTTAAAGTTGCAACTCTAATTGCCTAATTTAGTTATGCTATTGTGCCATTGCAGGATTATCTAAGTTGTTTATTGCATTCGGCTGTTATATCATTGGTCTCTAGTTATGGTTTTGGTGATGCTATTAATTAAGAGCATTTTATCTATTTGGAATATAGCTTTGATCCATTAATTCATTTGGAGCAATTGAATTTGCAGATACAACTGCTTTTAGTTTTATTTAATAGTAATTGATGTCCTCAGCATTAGGATCCCAGAGAAGCTCTCCTGAGGGTACGCAACCAGGTCCTAGTTCCACATCTGCTTCTATAGTTTCATCCTAGAGTCCCCCTGCATTGTTAAAAGTTGGGACATGATAGGTCCAGCCAATTGTAAAGTAAAATGAATCGTTGCCTTTCTCACTTGGAAGCATTGCCTTATACTCTATTCTGAACACTAATGCCACCAGTGGATGGCAAATAAAATTTTTCAAAGTAATAGAACCCCCAGAGATACTAATGCCATTCTCATTTGGAGGATTTAATGTGCTCTGGCTTTCAGTGCAAATATTTTGCCATGAGTTATTAGCTGATACTAGTATTCTTCTTTCAGATATGTAGACATTATCTACTCCACCGTGAATATGTCCTCTTGCTGTTCTCATCTTTTCTTGCTTCATTCTTCTTAAGAAGTTCTCAAATCTGCTTTCAAAAGCTATACTAGTGATGACCTAGATATTGTGAATATGAATGTTCTCTTTTTTCATTAATTCGCATTTAATATTTTCTCCAATATTTTTGTTAGGGCTTCTGGGCAGAGGTGGTTTATCACCTATAAGACCTGGGACGACATCATGAGGTGAGCAGAAGCAATTCTTAGGAATGAGTATCTTCAAAGGATCAATTGGAGCAAAGTCTCTTATCTCATACTAAAATCTACCAGGACTCTTTCCTTGAGGAATATGACCAGTTTATGCAATTGATCTCGGAGAGCCTTTGGTTAATTCAATTAAAGTCTTTCCTCCAAATTCAAAAATTGGACATAAAGCAAAGCCAGCTGAAGAATACGTTTTTTAACCTGAAAATTCTCTCACAATAACGACCTCAACCACTAGCTTGGAAGTTTTTTCAGTATAACTGGTATGGAAATATACATAATCCTCCTGCTTGGTATCAATTTATATAGAAGAACCATTAATTTCAATAGGTTAACTTCTATATGTCCTACCGTAGAACGATCCATGCGAGCCTAGCTCACTGTTGAACAATGTCATATAGTACTCAACATGAAACTTAGATCCCTGTATAGGTGCCTACTCTGGTATATTTGCATTCAAAGGAACTCCAGATACCCCGCACAAAGTTATTAGGAAAGACCTCGAAGGGCTGTCTAATTTATAATTTTTCAATAGCATTTCAGTCTCCAGTTTTTTATTATGCTTCATCTGATTAAACCAATGTTGTTTTCTGGCTCTCTTGCTGGCATATGTGTAAGATGACTGCGCCTTGTCAAGACTAAGTGCTGGAGCTCCACCTCCAAAATTAGGGCTCTAATTTTGGTTGGGTAACTGTAAAAACTGATTGTTTTGCATCATATTTAATCTATTTCGAATTATTCTTAATTCAAATTATAACTCACAAATAATATACGAGACAATATAATTTTAAATTAACAGACCCATCAATAATTAAGCCGAATGGCATATAAATACAGGCATGAGCAGGGGTAGATATCTTTGCTTCAGGGGCAATATCGTAACAAATGACGCTAAGCGGATGTGCGATGATTGCTAATTGAAAACTAATCCAATCATGTGGCTCGGGTTCGCTCGGGCCCAATTTCTGCACGGGTCTCCGGACCGCTTCCTATAAAAATGAAAAGTTTGATTATCTTTTAATTTACTATATCTCTATCTGACTAATACTATATCTTCTTTCCGAATTATTTACTCTATTATGATTCCTTCTCCAATTTGCTATACTTTTTATTATCTTAAAGCTCCCTTTATCCTCTCAATTTATCTTGATGGGGTTTTGGGGTTTTGGGGTTTTGGGGTTTTGGGGTTTTGGGG